TGGAGTGTATAAACTCAGTGTTTCAAATGTGAGAACAAGGAGCAACATGATTAATGCTAGCAGGTCAGGAGTAATTAATTAGATTTCTGAGGTAACAGGCTACTGAGATGAGCGGGAGAAGGTCGTACTGCTCAGTGCCATCGCGGGCAATCAGCTGCGGATTTGACCTGATGCACGCTCTGGGACGAGCTTTCCGTGCACTAGTCCAGGAGGCCTTTGTCACACTCCACCAGCTTAGGTGCTGGGGAAAACAGTTGGGTCCGTGTGTTTCTATTATCCCAGTTCATTGCTCTCAGCTGATTTCAGAAGTGATGTGCTTATTCAGGCCGTGCAGCCACTGCATTCTTACATCGCTTCTGTTCACTGCATCTCTTCTAAATGTGCCGAATGACTGGAAACTATGCTGGGGAGAGACTCAATGGGCATTGTTTGCAATTCACTTGTAACTTCCTGATATAACTGTAGTGTGCTTTTTTACAAATTTTTACTTGGAAGTGAAATCGAGATTTAGCAACTTATATATCATTAATAAGGCCACATTTCCTCCCTGCCCTGAACTGCAGGCACACCAGGGAGGCACACGAACATTTTGCTACATGGAGCACACCCAAGGTCCATGTTCAGAACAGAGCACAGTTAGCAGTCGGGAGCAGAGCAGCGTTCAGCCCACGCCTGCAGGAAGGGTTTCCTGGCAGCTTCTTTACAGATGGACTAAAACCCATTTGCTGCCCGTACAGCTTAAAAGAATCCAGAGCTTTGGATCACCCTGTATTAAAATCAACTGGCTGGCACAAAACTCTCTCTTGCTGTTCCTTGGGAGTTCTTCCGGATTTCCTCCTACTTTTGGTACCTGGAGTAGCTGGAGTCCAGCGCGGACTCTCCTAGCATCTGGCCGAGTTCAGAGGAAGACCTCAGCACCCCCTTGGCGAGGAGCCGTGGGTGCACTCAGCCTCTCCCACCTGGTTCAGTGCCTTCACGGGGCTTTAGTGTTGTGGGTTTTTTTAAGTACGACCTCAGCCAGACCCAAGGGTCTCACAAGCTCAGTTGCAAAGCAGCTCTAGATCTCCCCTCCTGGCGGCTCAGCCCTGGTGGGCTTCAGCTGGCAGGTCAGGCCCCTGCACCTGCAGGCTATCCAAACATCAGCCAGCACAGGCGCAGCAGCCTGCACATGTAGAAGTCATCTGCTCTGCCCAAGTAGTGTTTAGACGAGTCAGAGAAAACATTTTTGAGTTGGGGTCATCTCAAGTCAGTTAAAATAGTTCATGTCAGCTAGCTGAGGATGTGTTTCACTGAAGTGAGGCAGAAAACCAGAGTGTAACTTAATAAAAAAATCCTGTCTGTGGGAAAGAGCCCCAATTCCTTTACAGCAGCTGTCTGCTACTCTAGGGGGAAGTCCCTGTTAAGAGGAAAAAATTCAACTGTTAGAATTCCTCCTTGTAACCATCTTGTTTTCCTTTAAAACTGTAGAACTCATGGCAAAATGCAAGGCACACTCACCTCATTGATCAGTTTCTTTATCCTTTAGGCACTATAAGCAGCAAGGGAAACGTATACTCACTATCCCTCTCAAGGCTACTCCAGTTTATCAATTTGTATCAGGTGGATTTCCAAGGGGTTACTCTGCAAAATGCAGATCTCAGCTGAACCTGCCAGGACACAGCGGTGCTAGGACCTGCCACGGCGAGTGGCCAGCTGCCACGTCCCTCTTGAAAAAAATTCTTACAGAAATAAAAAGCAAACCATTGATAGTGTTAACACAGGGTAAAAGAGTCTTTGCCGCTAGATATTGTACACTGCAAACAAACTTCTAATAATGGCACAGGTCCTTCTTTTTTTGGTTTAAAGAAGCTTGTGTTACTGTAGTTAATGCATGAACAAGACCATAGACTTGTTATTCAGCACAGAAGAAGTCATCTAGAAGCTTCGATGTCCCAGGGTATCGGTGACTGTTGCTACAAAACTCGGATTCTGTTTTCAGCCAACAGTCCCCAAGTGAACAGTGAGGGATCCCTTTTGAAGAGTACATCTGAAACACAACCACGGGGGTGTGCAAGGCAAATAAAAGTGATGAGCTGCCGGATTTGTTTACAGAAGCTTCTTGTTACTAGACTGTCGAGTTCTACTGCGGTAAACCGAACCCCTCGAGGTTTTAGTTACAGGTGCTGCAGGGCTTCTTGTCCTTGTTCAGTGTAGGAGTCATCTTTATTTGAATTTGACCATTCTCCAAATGTATCCTGGAAGTGGACATTTTTCTGTGATGCCTGCATACGTCTCTTATCACGAGAGAAGAAACTAAACCTTCCGGGAAGGGAGGAGTGAGGGAGGAGAGGGAAAAGAAAGAAAACCATTTACCATCTTGAAAATACTTCAAACACCCGACGCCATACACCGCGCAACAAAACACAGAGCAAAACAATCTGTTTGCATCTGCAAAAATCAAGGCAGTGAAGCCTGATGGGAGTGCATGTCAAAATGTTATTAGAGATGAAGTCATTGCAATCTCAAGCGGTTTGGCTATGGAAGCTTCAAATAAGCTCTAAATGCTGTTGACTCTCCAAGGTGCAGGGATCATTTTAGATGTACGTTCCCCCTTCTGCAGCCCCGAGATAAAGCAGCTTCACAATGCAGGTTAGGTTCTCAGCCTAAGTAAAGTGGTATCTTTGACATTAAATCTGTGTAATTTACCATAAAACAGAAATAGAGAATGTTTTTAAGGGTGTAAGCAGGAAAATTAGTAAAATAATAGCCCTCAACATTTTTTCCAAGTGTACAGACTTTGATAGATAAATCGTGATTCCTGCAAAAATAAGTGAATAAATGCACATGTGTGCACAAGAGTTTGCAGGATGAGGGCTCTAAACAAATACACACGAGCGTGCACGTCATTTCCTGTCACACAGCTTGGGTGCTCGAAGATAATGACGTACATGAACCAACAGCCATTTAATACAACGACAAATTGCCAGCTGACAATAGAGCTAAAAAACCACAGTTGCAAAAAAATCCTTTGTATCATTTTATTTGTGTAGGATGACGTTACTTGATTAGGGAAATTCAATGCTGGTCATGAGTTCAGTACAAGAGGTGTTAGCGCAGTGTTTAGGTCTGCTGGGAAATGCAAAAATTGTGGTTCCAGCTACTGAAGGCTTAAATTGTCTGTGTACCTTTTTGGTTGTAACGGTGCGCTTTAGGAGTTAAATCCCGTTCTGCTTGCACAGTGCCAAGCATAGAATCATTAAGGTTGGAAAAGACCTCTAAGATCATCTAGTCCAACCGTCAACCCAACATTACCGTGACCACTAAACTATATCCTGAAGAGCATAATGCAATTCTGACCCAGGACAGGAATTGCAAAAGGCTGCTCAGTAAGAGACTACGCAAAACGAACTCAGCTCTGATAGGTGCTGGGCATAAGCCTGTCCCCGTGTCCAGGCCCCACCATCCTCAGCGTTCTTCACGCACCCGCACTCCCTGAGGTCCCCCCTCGGCACCGTGATCCCAAACCGCGTAGTGCAGACCCGGGAGTTCTGCCTTCGATGTCCCTAGTCACACAGGAGGCTGCATTTGAGGGCCAGATGAGGTTTAAGGCAGCTTTCTTGAAAAAAAATATCCTATTGTGTGTGCAGGTAAGCATGGCGATAATTATTAAGAATATCAAGAATAATTATTTCTTGACCAGAAAGTGATTAAAAAACTGCACAAGAGCAATGCCAGATAACTAACGTTGCTAGCAGGACCTGAACTTTTGCATTTCCTGGCTTCAAATACACGGCCTTAATAGTGAAATAAGTCTTTTGCACTTAATTAGCCTCAGACTTTTCTACCGCCTTCATCACAGGAGCTCATGAATTCACACACGTATGCTATGTCTGTTCAGGGCCAGATGCGATTTCAGGTGACAGAAGAAGTGTGTAGTCACTGCAGCTTTCTGCTGAGCGTGTTTGGTCCTGCAGGGTCATGCTTAGTATTTGAAGTCCACACAAAGGACGGCTGTGTTTATGCAGTAAGTTTCAAATGTGAAAGTTCAGTAATTTTTCACTGTATCATGAAATTAAGTAAGTGGAAAATAAAATCTCTACATGAAGGAGAAGGGTTAGACTTTTTTAATTCTTTCTGAAACAATGGAAATTGTTGTCATGCCCAGAAAACTCTCATGGAGGATGTCTGGAAAAAGCATGTCTGTCTGGAGAGGAAGGGAATTTAAATACTGTGCTGCTGCTGTAAATATAAAAATCACTAAAGCAGCAGTTGTAATGCAAAGAGACTTTGCATCAACAACTATCAGTACATCTTCCAGGGGCAGCCAAGAATAGGATGATAGAATTGATTATTGAGAGTGTATACTCTATTCCAAAATACATAATTAGAGACAAAATGTACAGTGCATAGAAAGGAAGACATGGAAGCAAGAGCCTATAATTACAGTTGGAAATTAATGTAGACATCAGCCGTTACATTCTATGAATCTAACTAACTGGTTCGTAACATGTCATTAGAACAACACGGGTTTCTTAAAAAGCCTCGGTGTGAATGGTCAATAGGCACGCTTAGTAAGCAAAATTAACAGATGCTAGTTAAAATTGCATATTGCGACAACTTTCTAAGGAGTAACGATTGGTTTAGCACGGTAACATTAAGGCAAAAGGTGATAAAATGTCAATACTTGAGGATGAGCACGGAGGACTACGATGGGCTGTGCGCTGACCGGTTGTTCTCATCGGCACTTTGCTCTCCTGTGATCCCACAGGCAGCCGATGAGAATGCAGCCGGCAGTGCATGTTAACACAGGGTCATGCAAAAGGAAACCATGGTACCAAATATTTATTAAAAAAAAAATAATTCCTACAAGGGACACAAGTCTTCTTATTGGCTGCAATGTGGGATCGTCTGGAATCAATCCAGCTGCTACCATGGGCATTATGGCTGTAAAGATCCTGGTCAGGAAAGTACAGACACAGAAGAAGTAAGACTGGAGCAAGGGAAAGAAAAAGCAGTCCATTAAAAAGAAAAGAGGCAAACATGATACACAAGGGGTTACTCTAAATTACCACACAGCACATATTACAGGGAGAGGTGGATCTGCATCACCCAAGACAGCTCTCCTCAGTGAAAAACTCTTATTTAGAAAAAAGCAATCATTGTAACAGTTTAAATTGCTTTTGAATTTCTAAAAGATACCACTTTTCTGTTGTGAGGCAGCCTGCAATCTGGGTTGGATTTTGTCACGGTATTACCACCTCCAGCAATGCAGAGCAGAGTGCACGCTTTTCTTCCCAAGAGACAAAGAGGCATGTACATAATGAAATGAAAGATGAAGGTGTATGTTAAGAAATACGAAACAGGACTCTGCTGTGACTACTGGATGTTTGCACGGACAACAGGGTTAGACAGGACCAGCATTACAGTTAAAGATTTTACAAATGTTACAGTTGATAGTTTCGAGTTAAAAACCAGTACCACAGGTGAAATCTTGAAATAACCTCCTAGGCAAGCTCCTTGGTTAAAGGGACCATGTTATCTGTTCTAAAAGAACCTGCACTGCCTCACATGCAGACAGATGCCAACTGCAGGCAGCTAAATAATTATGTGAAACCTCGCAACTAAGCAGAAACACTTTGTAGCTGGCTAGCAGCGAGACTGTTTCTTTGTAAGAGTTCAGCGCTTCAACTACGCGTTCTACAATTCATGCAACTCGGAGGTTGGGAGAGCACGCCGGGGAGGTGCTCTGCCCCAGCCAGCCCCCCGCAAACCTGCCAACACACCTTCATCCGTACCTGGAACACCCTCTGTTTTTCTAAGGTTTCTCCTCAGAGCTTCTCCCTTGTGCCAAATATTTTTTTGAACTGTGGACTAATGTCAATTAGAGATTCAGTTGAAATCGCGAGAGACATTTCACTGGTAACCAAACGCAGCTCTCCCCAACACACTCTAACTGCTATCCTTAGATTAAAAACGAAAGTGAACAAGCAAGCGTTGTATCATTAGCAATAGCTAGGAATTCTGTTTTTACGTGTTGTGGCATGGTCCGTGAGCTGCAGAAATGAGACACACACATCAGCTTTTGTAGACTGCAAAAATAGGAAGAAAACTTATGGCTGTTTCAGGCATTACATCAGTGGCAAACAAGCACATATCCTTAAAGGGAAAACAAAAGGGCGTTTTCTGCTCAAAACAGAGGGAGCATTTTTAATCCTTGTACTTCTCCTCCTCAGTAAAGCCTCCTGGTTACATTGTTTCATCAAAACTCTGACATGTGATGTGGCAGAGACAAATGTAGAAATCAATGAATCTTGAAATCAGAACTCAAGAGTTTGCCCCAAGAAAAAAAAATGTTGTTTTCTGTAACTTCTGTAACTTTTCTTTCTTTATGGGGATACAGCAGAATCACCTGAGCACAGGGGACCGATGGCATGGGCTATGTAAACACATCTCATTCCCTGAGATGCTGCGCAGTCAAGTCAAAAAGGACACGTTACACAAGCAAGCATAAAACTTCTCCTGAGAGGACAGCAACAGCGTCTCCTCTATTTTTCATTCTTCATCTTTTTGTTTAATCAGGAGGAAAACTGTGGAACATGAGGAAAAGCCACTACTTTGATTTGTAAAGGTGCTCTGCATGCAGATACCAGTGTTACACAAGTTTTCACCACATCATTAGGAATGGAGAGGTGGCCATGCCAGCGTGTTACCCAGGTAGAGCCATATAGTGAGGTGCCTGCGAGAGGGCGAAGGGAGCTCTGGAGAGAGCTCGCAGCAGGCAGGGACTGCACGTGGGCAGGAGGGGTGTCAGAACGGCACAGCTGATGCTGCACTTGGGTTCTTTGTTTTTCCCAGCAGCAAAATTTCCTGTCTTTTTAGAGCCCGTCTACAAGTACGGTACTGACAACACGCACACAGAGGAGGGGGGGAAAGAAAATAAACACCCACTAGACAAATTCTACCCAGACAGGCTGCAAGAATAAGACAAACCTTAAAACTACTACAGTCCTTCAGGTTACTTAAGTAGACCCTTTAGTCTTCCCGTATTTAATATGATGGCTAAATGAAGAGAGAGCAGAAAGAAACCTGAGGACACACCACGACAGCTAAAGAAAGGAATTTCACTGTAACAGCACATTCAATACGTGCTGTCACTGTCCAGCAGAAGAGGACTCTTGCCTCTTCTGAAAGGGGCCAAATCAGCACAATATTATGTTTTGTTGTGCGTGGTTTAATTATATGAATGTAACACAGAATCTGAGAAACAAGGATTAGACAGGTGTCTGAAAACATGCATTGACTGAATGGTCTGATGCTCAACAGCTTTTGCCTAATAAGTTAACTCAGAGGAAGAAAACACCAAGAGAACTGATGAAAAACATTTATGTGCCTCCTGACGTGGGTCCCAGTGTTGTTTACGCATGTATGTGGAAGGCAGAGGCAAAGCTAAAACCTTGTCACCGTGTGCTTTGTCTTACAGTGTCTATTTACATTTTTATGCTACCTTTGCTTCATAAATCAAGCATGGAAACTGCAGTCCACACAAGCTGCACAAACTGAAACCAGCCACCCCCCACAATGGTGTAAGCTTTAAAACATACTAAAATAAATTTAAAAGAAAAGAGAAGCTTTACAGTGGAGATCTTGTGAGACAAAGTATTAGTATTATCATCTCAGCTGCAGAATCAAAACTTAAGGCCAACTCAAAAGTGTATTTTCTAGTCATGTGAAAGGAAGGGTTCTCTCAGCAAACAAAGCAGCACAGATAGAAGCTGGAGTCTACTGAAAATAATCAAAAGTGCCCTCCTGACTTTATGGTGTCATGGATCAGTCCAGATCTTGTGATGGAACTTACTCTCACAGGGTTCCTGCTACAATTAAACAGGAACTGAAGGCTATGGACATGGGGCTTTTTATGTGGAAACAAATGACTGTTCCAAAATCATTTATGCAGTTAAAAAAGTTAAGCTTCCAGTATCACAAAAATGCAAAGACTTGCTATATGGTTACAAGACTTAATTTGGAATAAATAAATGTACAAGGATGGAGTTTCAACTGACAAATGGATTGGCTAACACTGGGATTTTATAATTAAGTGATAGACTAGTACATGCAAATGCACACCTCTGACAGTAAGCTTTGGTTTTGGACAGCAACATTAAATACTTCACCAGGAGAAGGTGGGATTCTTCATAGCCAAGAAAGTGATCATCCTCTCCAGCAGCAAATTTGTTCAGCAACAAAAGGGTTTTGTGCCGCACACGTAGTGCAAGTCAGGGTCTAAAGGCTCAGGTCGACAGGAAAAGGGGCACAGCAAGGTCCTGAGGAACCCTTGCTCTCCAGGCCGACTGCTACAGCTCTGCAGCTGGTTGTGCTTGTGAACACCACTCTACGCAACTTCTGTGCATGGCTTGGGGGCCAGTGGTTTCTGACACTCCACCACGTTAGGATGTGTGTGTGTGTGTATGTGTTGAGGAATGGGGACTCACAGTTGAATGAGAACATTGTTCCTACAGCCCTTGCACACTGACACCCAGCACTGACCCGTTGTGGGTGCAGAGGATGGGCTGAACAGGGCTCTAGGCAACACCACAATTAGTAGCACCTCCCTTTGGAGCCTGACTACATGGCCCAGACGAGAAAATTCTCTAGGAAGATCAGGTGTCTGTGTTTAAAGAGCTGATCAGTTCATACCAGCTGTAATAAAATATTGCAACACGTGCTCTTTTGGTTAGCCTGAACAGTGTACTATATCCAGCATCCTTAGAAAATACGCTACTTACAGTCGTTTGATTCCAGATTCAGGCTGAGTTGAGGGTTTTGGCTGAATTATGGGTGTAGGTTGGGGGGATCTAGTTTCTTCTTCCGTTTCCTCGCTTGAAAGAAAGAGAAGATAATTAATGTTCTCTTCCCAAGCCATAGAAGCACTTTAAAATTCAATCTGAGGTCGTACTGTTGATGAAGAAATGCAAAAAGATCTGTTTAAAGCCCACTAAAATCAACAGGAGATTTTTCTGTCAACCAAGGAAAAGCACCTAGAACCGGGTCTCCTTTCAATATTTTCTTCGCGTTGTGACAAGGAGAGGAGGAATGCACTGAATGAAAGTCCTAGAATTTTCATTTAGACCCGCTCTTATTCTCATTTTTGAAGTTCCTAATTATTAAATGTTTGTAATCTTGCTAAGACTCAGGGGGAACCTGGGTGTTAGGGAAGGACATAGGCTTTTTCCAATTTTTAGAGACCAAGTTCAAAGTAAAGCCATATGCTTGCAATCTCTACTTGAAACCTTTGCAGAAGTATAAGCTTGTTGGACACTATCTAAGAGCACATTTATTGTTTCTAGACCTGCCCTGTGACTCCTGTGTGTGGAGCATGCAACACGAAAGGAGATCTAACCTACCTTTTGTAATATAAAAGCTCCTCTTGAAGTAAAAACACTTTAGATTTCAATTCATTCCTTTCATGGAGGACATCTCGGAGCTCCTGCAAGGTGAATCTTGGACGATTTGGATCTTTTAAGTCCATTGCCATCTTTTCTGACTCTGAGAGGCAATCATCGTTGTTTGGTTCTGCCTAGGAAGTGAAAGGCAGGTGAGTGCATGTCTGACGAGTTTGAAGTACTTATTAATCTAGTTCCCAACTTCTTCCTTTCAGCACTATTAAATCCTCTTTGAAGAGAAACACAGCAATTTTAAGAGGGAAAAAAAGAAGTAGGACAAACTTGGTTTTCCTCTCTTCATCTGGTGTTCGAAGGAAGCACGTGAATGAGCAAGACCTCAGTGTTGTGACGTACACTCAAAGCACCGGGCTCACAGGAATCTTTCAGAGTTACATGTTTGGGAAAACAAACAAACACCAACTGTTTTTAGCAGGCCTGAACACAGTCTCCAACCTAGGTGATGCATTTTTTTGTGGAGAAATCTGTATGGAATCCGGACTGCCAGAAAGTCCCCTGAAAATGTATAGTCCAATTTTTGATAAACAAGTCAGTTTAAGGAATTCATACTTCTAACAAATGGGGTAAATCAAACATCAGCCTCTTATGTAAACACCGACAAAACTCCATAGCAAAGATCATGCCAGTTCCTTCCAGCTCCTCCCATAAAGAGATGGCTTCTTTGGATGTAAATATATTAAGTGGAGATTTAACTTTACAGCCCCTTAATGCCTTCATTAAAACAAACAAAGAAACAAACAGGGTTGGCGTTAGCACGAGGATCTAGCTACAAAGTGGAAGAAAACTGCAGATGAATGCTAGAGGAGGCATTTATAGACATGTACCCTTGTCTCTTCCTTTGAGAAGAGTTCACTGGAAGCTTGAAGGAGTTTATCTTGCACCACCCATTTTCTGTGGCTCCCAACAAGGCACATGCTTGGATTCCTGTCACCCAGGCAGACTCTAGCACTTGCACAGAATTATTTGGTTCAAACTCCTTTTGAAACTTGTGTATAAATGCAGCATGCAGAAGACCATCATTCAAGTCCTCTATTGTTGTTGCACTCAGTGGCTGCACAGAGCTGAGGACCAGTTAATGAGAAAACACAAGCTTCTGGAAAAGGAACTCAGTATCAAGATACTGAAAAGCAGCCACAAGTCTTTAAGAGGTCCACGGGATTTCTGACAATACAAATAAATGCAGGGCACTCGGTTCCAGCAAAGTGCATCTGAAATATAGCGAAGTACATTTGAAATGTGATGCTTTATGCAAGGACTGACTAGGAGCCAGCACATGAAATCAGAGATGCCAGCAGCCAGGTCTGCCCCTCACCCTCCAGGTAGGATGAGGAGATCTGTCTTAGAGCTCCTGTGTTGCCTCGCTGGGACAGAAGCTGGGAATTCGAGGAGCTAAGTCCTGAAATTCTTATTCAGAGTTGACTTTTTTCTAAGCCTGATCCGACCCTCTTTCGAACTAATGTGTTTGTGAAACAGTTTTGCTCTCTATTGATTTATGATTTCAGGTTCAGGTTGAGTTGGGCTAAGGTTGATGCAATATCAGCTTCTACAGCAGGCATTGCAGTGCTTGTCCTGCGAAGACAAAACCGCAGAGCAATGCTCACTTGTCCATTTGTGTGATTCACCCCATTCACCCAAGTGCATTTCTTTAGATGGGACACAATAGATAAAGATGGATGCAACCTAAGAAGAGGTTCACAGGAAATCACCCAAACACTTTTCCTCTTCTTCACCCCTCTAGATTAGGGTCTGAGCTGATGCCTCTTCTTTTAGTTGTATATTTGCCCTACACCTTTGCCTACATAAGCTATTTTCCTAGATTTAGCTCAGCTCAGCAAAGACTAAGCGGCCTGTAGCCAATGCAAATGTACTTGGCTGAAGACAACAAGCAATGTCCATTCCAGAGCATGCAGCTATTTGAGCTTTCTGCTTCCCACTGCAATTCCCGCCTAACCAGCATCCTGGCAAAGAGAGTGGGGAACAGCTCTAATTAGAAGAGGCGCTATTGCCACGGAACTGATGAGTTAGAGAGAGGTAAAGAATGCATCCTTTCTCTCCAGAGACTGAAGACACTGTCACCCCTGCTGGCTCTAGGCCTAGGCTCCACAGCCCCATTTACAAATCCGGGTGTCCTGGCTGAATTAACAGCAATGAAATCATCCTTTTCATTATTAATACAGTGCTTGCCCAATTCAGTGCTGACCATCGCATTCCAGGGGGACCAGGGTACCCCATCAACCTTCACCTCTGTTTCTTGATGTATATTCCTGCCTACGGCAAGTGAATTGGATGTTTCGCTCTCTGCGGCAGTCTCTCAGGCGTTTACAGCGCTGCTCTGTGCTGGAGCTCTTCCCATGGCTCCCAGCCCAACGGCCGCCAGCCCAATGGCCCTGTATAGTAGCGCTCCTCTAAGTCTTTTCATATCATAATAACCCTTATCCTATTTTGCACTCTTCTAAGAGCAGCATTAGGAAAGGGAAATAGAGCACATTTGCTTTAGTAAGACAGAAGTAGCGTCCATATGCACAAAGAAAAATAACAGGACCCATAAAGAAGACTAAGGGATGCAACAGATGAGATGCTTCTTTTTCTCAGGAGACTCCCCTCAAGTTTGCGTTCCTGCTGCTCTGACCTCAGCACCAATGCTTGTTCCTGCAAGTACCGGAGTATTCAAGCAGTAACATTTGCTTTTCATGAACATTTGTGCCAGTAAGACATCACTGCACAAATTCTAATGGGAAGTGGAAGCAAAAATAAGGCCCAAGTTGGTTCCTCTAAAAGATGCTTTCAGATATTTATATATTGATCGGGTAGCGAAAGACCAGCTCAGTCCTGCCTGATCAGAAGTGTCACAAGCACTGCAAGGACCACGTGTGCATTGCCTCTGGGACCCCTTCTGACACAGATTTTTTCCCACTGTGGTTCCCATGCAATCACCACCGTGGTGTGCTGCACCCTTGGGACCCATTAGGGCTTGTGTATTTGCATGCTTGGCAAGGCTTAACCACTCGTCAGCTTGGAAAATCAAACTGTTTAAGGGATCGGTTTGTTTTCCTTTGGGGGAAGGGGTTGATGTGTACAAACAAAAGGAGGCCAAACACACTAATGCAGCGCTACCAAACCACTGCGTGCCTCCAGTACAGACGGCCAGTACTCCAGATTTGGGATTGCCTCACAACGTTTTTAATAGAATGCTCTCATTTGAAGTAATGATTTGTTGTGGAATCTGTCGAATTCTGCAGCCTAGTGCCTTACCCAAAGGTTACACTCCCTAGGATGTATGATGGGTCGCCAAGGCTCAGGGGAGAGCAGTTCCCTAATGCAGACATCCCTCTGCTAACTTGTGCTGCCACTCTGCCTGCTGCGGGACCGGCTCCCTCCTCTGGAAAGAAGGGGTCTGTTCCACCGGGTCACCATCAACCCTAACGGGGCCTTTCCTGTCACAGTGTGATGAGTGATGCTGCTCTCTGCATGTCACACCTCAACACAAGATGCTGTCCTCAAATCTCAGCGTTGCCTCTGATGTGTACCAATCACATTTAGCCAAAGAGGAGAGGTACTTGGTATGAAGTCTGAAACTTTTTTCAAAGGCTGTGATTTAAAGTGCCTCTTACCTTTACTTCCTCTCCATTTTGGCTGTCCTCACCCTGCAGTTTCTCTCTCAGTTTCCCCAGCTCTGCTCGCAGGTTGCCCATCTCCTGCTCCTTGGTTTGCAGATATGCCTCTAACTCCACCTTCTGCTCAATCAGCGCTTTCCCCTGAGCCTCAACGACAGTGATCCGGTGCCGCAGGTCGTGGTTGATTTTCATTAACCTGTTCTGTTGCTGCTGAAGCTGCAAAACATTGATGCAATAGGTCAGTGTCCATCCAGCCATCAGCCATGATGGCCAAGTCCCAAACACTATGGTAAAGAAAAGTAGTGAGTTTCTGTTTAATTTAATCTGGAAAATTCTCCCCCCTCCTCCTCACCCCCAAATTAGTTTTTTTAATATCTAATTATCTACTACAGTTGCAGCCACCACAATTTAATTGGTTTCTAGAGTAGAGGCATTTTTCCCCTTGCAGAGGGAATTCTTCAGCTAAAAGCAAATCCATGACTTCCGATATTATGTCTCATAAAAGCAACATTCAAGGATAGGGTGGCTTATGGGGTTCTGAATCAAATCTTAACTCAGAGTAGAAGAGTGAAAGACAAGTCAGAGGAGCCCCTAGTATTCAATTTATATTACAAGCACTTTGCTTTGCGTTCTTAGGCTCTCTCATAAGCAGGATGGGACCTGCTGGGCATTGTAAGGACAGCATCGATTTGAAAGGCCACCGGACCTGCCAGAGGCACTTGAGTAGAGCAGAGATCATCCAGGTCTGGCCCTCACTAGCACCAGGAAAGTCCCATGGGATAAGGAGACCAGGCAGCATGAGGATGGGAAGCAAGATATGGGTAAGGAGGTCATTCCTCCTGACACAGAAAGAACCAAGACATCATGTGACAACCAAAGTCACAGTGGAGTCTGTAATTCATCTAAGACTAAGCTGGGATTTCTTGTGCTGTGGTCCCCAGGGCCACTCATCCTCTCAGTGACCTGTTCACTGCTGGAAGAAGTTAGGCTCAGCCTCCTTCTCTGCGTGGGATGAGGCATTGGGGTGCCGAGGAAGTTTGCGCTGCCAAAGCAGAAAGAGACTCAAGAAACCAGGGAGAGTTACCTATCCTGTTCTCATGAAAGGCAGGAGGTATCAGGCTTTAAGGAAACAAACAAAACCAACCTGTCCTTCCCTCACCTTCCTGGTCGTTACACTGGTTTCCAGTCACGCTTCAAGTACGCCTGGTCCTTCTGAGGACAGCAGATGATGTGCATCTGCACTGAAGACTCCCTAACCATGTTGGACACTCCACAGTTATGCTGGACGCTTCAGTTACTGGGCTAATGATCCTAATAATCTGTCATTGCTTACATATTCTACATTAACTTGAAACTCAGCTATGGAAGTACAGGTGAAAAAGAGAAACAGAAATACTAAGAGCCACTTACAGCCTCTACATCCTCATTTTTAAGTCCAAGTTCCCGGTCCTTTGCTCTGATTTCATCCCTCTGTTTATCTACCACTTCTTTCAGCTTCTTCATGACTTGCCGCTCTCTCTCTGACATTCCTGGTTAAAAGAAAACACGGAAAACAAAATAAGGACAACCTGAAGCTGCTGAGATTGAGAACAATAACAGTGAGAAATACTTAGGTAAGGACTCTGGAAGTTGCCTGCTGGTAGAATTACAGAGAAGCTGGTGGAAGATGCTTTAAAGGTTACTTCAAGGGTAGCAGGGAAAATAGATGACACAATCCACTCCATAAAGCCACTGCATAGAAACTTCTTAAAAAAGGAACTGACAGTCCTCAGAAACATTTATAACAGTGGAGCGACACTGCTACATCTTGCGGCCTCAGGAGTTTTACACCACTGTTCACAGTGTGCCCCAGGGAGCTTGGTTATCTGTGTGATAATCTGTAGAATGAGCTGGCCAAGACCCTGTGAATATTGTAAAAAAAAGATGGTCTGGTCCTCAGCAAGATCTAAACAACATGTCACCGTGGCAGATTGTGACCAGGAAAGCGTGTGGCTGCTCTGGCCAGAGTCCAGCTCAAACCCAGGGTCTCCTGCTCCCTTGTTCTATTATCTTTGGCAAAGCACTTGGTTACGTGGGCCCTCAGCTTCCTCCATTTATGAACTGCGAGCGCTGAGAATTCACTCACCCCTCTGGGGTGGCTGGAAAGCCACTTCCTTTTTAATATATTAAAGCTGTTCCCACATCAGAAATACACTGCATACACATCAGATGTATCCAGCTGTCAGGGCTCTACTTTCTAACATCAGCTCAGACTTCCCAGTTATGTTCTTCTGCCCTCATGAGAGAAATCCAGAGTTGCTCCCGTAAGAGAATGTAGGCTGTGTGCCTCTAGGAACTCCACCTCACAGATTGTCTACAATTTGAACTGAGGGATAATACAGTAGAGCAAGACAAACGTGAGAGAGAAAGGGAGTAACTCTTGGTGGATGTGCACTCTTCCAGCAGCTGTGGGTTCCCATGCAGGCATGAAAAGCAAATTACTGCAAATAGAGGGAACAGCAGCTCCACTCCCTCATTGCTAAATGACCAGAGCTATGGTACAGCAGAGCATAGGCCAGTGCTCTGCTGGGAAAAGGACTGGTGACCATGGCTGGCCAGGAATTTGGTCCAGAGGACGCGTTCCTGTCAAACCCTAGAAAACATCTGAAAGTGGCATGGTATTCACATTCTAGTATTACATTCTTATATTTTTAAAATTCTGTGATATTTCTGCCTGCTCTTTTTCTGGACCCTGGTCCTTATCACCTCTGTGCTCTAGGTTCTGGTTCTTTGCAGGATAATTTTAATTCTTCACTATGATAAGAGCTTATACCCATCAGGGAGGATGAGCGGACACTGACATCCAAAGATCCACGCTGTCCTATAGCAATACAGGTCCCATATACCACTGTACCCAGAAACCCCACTACACGTTCCTGCATCCACCCTATGCAGCCAGTCTCAGGGCTGGGGCCTAAAACATCAGCTGTACTTCAAAACAAAACACAACAAAATTCCAAAACCTTACCCTCAAGTACAGAGGAACTGCAGTGAAAGTTCACACTTGTGGTTTCACCCCAGCAGGAGCTAGGAATAGTGAGTGCAGCTATATTCATTAGCACTTGTGAGATGCTTTGAGAACTCTAGATAGCAGGTGCTATTTAAAGAAAAAAAGTACCATTTCGGTGCTGACTGCCTTCCCTCCCACTGTGCTCATTTTTCTCCCTAACGGGTGGTGAACCTGAAAGACTTCAATTGCGTGCACGGATCACTATATTATCATTTTTGTTTCAAGAGGAAGGCAAAGGAAAGGTGGGAATGTTTATGAAACAGTCACATCTTCTTCCATTTCCTCAGGCACTAGGGAAGAGGAGAGGGAAATCACTAAGTGCCTTAAATGTAAAGTAATTATCTCTAAATGATTCAAAGTCTAATAAATGCAAGATATTAAGTGGCACACCCAGCCGGCTTCCCTAGGCACATCCTATGACCAGCTTCCTGTAGATCACTGGAGATCACAGCATTGTTCAAGCACGAGAAAGGAAAGCAGCAGAAAAAAAAAAAAAAAGAAAAAAACAACTCAAACCCCATCATGATTTATGTTTAGGGATCTGTTTAGTGATGTTTTAAACAACATCCATCACAACAGGCCAAAGTGGCAGCCAGGGGGGCCTGTGGCACTTCATCGCTGCCTAAACACTTCGGGTAGAAGTTTGCCTCCACTTCTGACAGGGCACAGTAGGTTCCTCGGCAGCCCAGCACAAGAGGTTCCCACAAGTGCTGACGTCCTGCTGCTCATCTGTATTAGCCCACAGCCCGAGACAGCAGCTCCCCTCGCTGCAGTGGAACAGCAGCCTGCTCGTCCGGTTTGACACATGTTGGGTCAAGTTTTTCTGCAGCATTTCACTAGGATGTTCCAATCAGTCGGCACCATCAAGCAGCGCTCAGTTTGCACTTGGGAGGAGTAGCATTAATGGATGTTGCAGACTCATCTTTAACCCCTCCTCTGTATTTTGTGTTCTGCCTTTCACACGAACCCCGCTCTGCTTGGACTCCCAGCAAATGCTCTCTGTGCAGAACACTCCTGGTCAGACAGGATTGCCTCTGCCTCTCCCACCAGCACCTTCATTATACGCTAAAGTGGGGCTCTGTGAACTCTGATGTGACTATTAATTGACGAGGATCGAATCTCAAAGTCTTGCACACCCAAATCACTGTCCTCTGCTGCCTGTGCTAAAAATAACTCTTTAACTGTCTGGTGAGTAAGCAGCAAGCTGCTAATCCCAGGGGCTAGCCGCTAAGTGGAGACATGATCACAATACTAAATCGTGCTGAGATAGGAAGACCAGAGTCTGGTCAAAGTTAGTCCAACTAACAAAGTATTTGGCTTAAAAACCTGCCTCTGTAGACTCTACATGTATCAGATCAAATGACAGAGACTGAAAAAAAGCAGCATGACCACTTTTTGTCACTATCCAAACAAGTCATTTGAGACAGATCTATCCCCATTCATTAATGACAAAATTTCTTAAAAGGAAAGCAGTCAAGTTTTATATAATAGGGCCCAATAATAAGATGGGGTTGCTATATATTAATGTGATTTGACTTAAACTGATGATTTTGGCCAAAGAATATTAACAATCCCAGAATGTGATCTCTGGAATGGCTTTATGGGTTTTGTTTGTGTTCTTACACTTGTGTAGACACAGTAAAAATAACATGAAAAGCATGCCTGGCATTTGCTTGGCTAGTTGAATGTCAAGAGTATGGCTATATTTAAATACAAGCACATGAGCTGCAGTGAGCCAGATACCCACTGGAAGGGAAGGAGGAAAAAAAAAAAGAGGGAAGAAAAGAAAACAAAGAGGAAGCTGGTTCTTTATAACAAGATGTCATAGTCTTCATGGTTCATGACTCATCACCGCCATTCTGAAATTTTGCATGGAGTTTGTAAGGCTGATGTTGTACTACTGCTTTGCGCTGCTTGACTCCTAAACTAAACGTGTTGCATTTGTTTTAAGAAGTGGTGATCTTGAGAAGTTTAACTATTTTTACTTGAAGATTTCATTATACTCCTCCCCAGGGCAAGTGAGCAGTATTCAGCCTCTGGGAAAAACCAAGAGCAACTTCAGCAGCATTGGACAGAGTTTCACCCACCCATGGCAAGTCTCCCTTTAATAATCCCAACCTCCAGTGTCTGGAAAAGGATATCCCTTTGTTCCTAATGCTTTACTGGAGTCCAGTTTCAGACTGGGCAGTGACTTTGCACGTTACACACGGGATCCTTCTGAGGGAGCCATGACTTTATTCATTATCAGAACCTACTGTGAAAGTGGAGCTGTGGCTGGAAGCACTGGACCCCACCTTTCCTACTGCTTTCCTTTTAAGAAATTTTGTCAGCTTTTGTCCGTGTACAAACAGCTCAGAAAGCCACGTGCTTCCCCACTGACTCACCGCCACAGGCAGGTTTTACTCTGCCCCACCTCCCAGCTCAAGGCTGCCTCATCCCTAAAGCCACACAGTCGGTTTTTTTCAACTTCTCAGCTTAAATCCCAGCAAAGTGTCATAAAATGGACTTGGTAGCCAGCGGCCTCACATGATGTGCCAGGAGCTGTAGAGCAAACAGACATCTGTGCCTCTGCCCCTGCTCTTGGGAAAGAGCTATTTGCTGAGCTGTGGGTGAGAGCTAAGGATTCCAGTTGTTTCAGTTGCTGCAGTGAAATCCACCCATACTTGCAAGTCAGAATCTTATGTCTTGAACTTCATTCTGCCTGAAGAAAGAAGTTGCCCACAAATCAGTTGTTTCAACTCTTTAGGATTCACCAACTCCCTGAATTACAGATTGCTTCACTGGCTATAAGTCCCAAACAAGTGAGGGAACACTAAATGCAGGTAAACCAAGTAGAACTAGTCTCTCTTATTCTAGGAGAATATAATGAAATTCTCCTAGAATACCTCCATATGGTGCACTGATACAATTCAGACACAGAAAGCTTGATTTGCTGCTTTACAAGCAAATTATCCTGCATAGACCAACAGTTGCACTTATTTTTGTGCATAACGGTGTGAAATAAACATTGCTGAATGGATTACTCTGTTTGTATTAGGAAACATAAAGGAGGCTTAAGAATGCTTTTTTGCAAAATGCAAACTAAAAAGAAAAGAGCAAGTGATAGACCAAAAAAATGAAGCTAGACTTTACTTTCAGAGATGCCTGTCAAATGAACAAAAAGTTCAGGCTTTTCTTCCCCTTCTGCCATCCCCCGTCCCTTATCATGCCTTCGATATCACTGTGTGTTCAGAGCTTTTCTCTTCAGGTTAAAAAAACCAAACCCCAAAACCAAACCCCAAAACCCTGACCTGCATTAATCTATAGGAAAAAAGCCAGAATACCCAGTCAAAATATTTTGATAAAGTATTGCTTTTTATAACAAAAGCAAGTACTGAATGTGTAGTATCAAACTTGCCTTCATGCTTCTGAAATTCCTCTTCTGTGAAATTAATGTCTTTGTGAGACAAGTTTGTCATCAGTTGTTTATTCTCCTCCTGCAGCTGTGCAATTTGGGTAAGAAGATCCTGTGCTTCCCCTCTCCAGACATCCTCCACCAGTTCTAATTCCTAAAGGGTAGACCGGGACAACACATTTATATTTTTAAACACGTTAAGAGTCTTTGACTGGACTATTTACAGATGAAACTAGTAACAATCCAACTGTGATTCATACACAATAAAACTCCATGAGATTACTCTGAATTTCTTAGAAGACACCTACTTTTCTAATTCCAGCACCAACTGCCAAAGTCCCCTTTTGCGATGTGCTGCATGCAAGTAAAGAAGGAGACCATTGCCAACGCAAACATTTTTGACATGTGAGTTACCCAAATGATGGCTCCTTATGCCCCATTTTGCTGTGAGGACCAGATTAAGGGGACTGCTAGGTTAGACGAGTTAACCAAACGTGAGGAACAGTTACCTCCTGCATCCCCAGAGGCAGCCACAAAGGTTGTTACAAGTGCCCCAGAAACATGACACGGCACAGGCCAGGGCACTGAGCGTTAGGCGTGCTCATCTGGAAAGAGCAGCATCTGTAGTCTAAATTTCTGTTATGAAACACGAGTGTACAATAATGAGTGCGTGATACTGCGCAGCAAAACCCAGAGCTCCCAGTCCAGATGGTAAACACAAGGCAAAACTGTGCTGCTGCTTATGTAAATTGCTCGGTATGGACTGTTTTGAGTGGCATCTATGGTAGCGGCAGTGAGACCAGTCACAACCACTCCCATTTGTCAGGGCACTGTGTGTCAAGAGCAGCTGTCACCAATCCTCTTAAAGGTCAAATTAGGACAAAAAGTATAAAGTCCTCAAGGAAAACCAGTTGTATTTAGAGCTTTACTCGTTCCAAAAGCCTTTGCCATAAATTATACTTCTGCAGCGGGGGGCGTCCTCCGCTCCATTTTCACGTATGTGCACTTCAAACAAAAAAAGCTGCTTGCAAATCGCGGGAGCCAGGCTGAGTCACTTGCTGACTTCTACATTCATGCAGCGTGCCCCTTTCCTACCTAACAACGAAACACATTCAGGCAACAACCCCGCCAAGCACAGCTCTAGGCTAAAATAAGCTCTGCCGGGAGATTAGAGGATAGCTTTCTGCTTTGAATGCACGCTCTGATAATGGGAAATCATGTTCCTATTGACTTTGGGGTCCAAATGCCGTTTTATTCCAGCATTTGTTACTGCACTGTTGTCAGTTTAGAACGCCTGCTAAAAGTTATGCAGAAAACACCGCACAACAAATTGTGTGTGTTGTAAGCTATGCAGACTTAATGAAGAGCAAAATTTCATGCATCACCTCTATTTTACTCACAACTCTTTGAGAGAAAAGCAAATCTGGAATGAAACTTTATATTGCCAAATACCTAGACTATTTACAGTGATGCTGCGTATTACAACTCTGTAGCTAAAATAACGCGCTGACCTAGTTTAGGTAATAAACCAGCACATTCATCAGTTAGAAACATACTGATAAAAACAAAACAGAACAACACACAATAATCCAAACTATCTAAACTTATATAATTTATGTGTGGCTGCACTGTAAACATACAACTATTAAGGTTTGCCTAGGCAAGCTTTCTTATTAATTGCTATTGAAGAACTCGATGAATTGGAGCAGAAATTTACTTCTGAACCCTCATTAGTAGAAGTATTGGACAGAGAAGGCTGATCTATGGGCCAGCAGGTACCAGCCAGCTCAGGAAGCTCCTGGTTTACAGGCAAAACAAATTAACTCCTAAAGATTCTAAGTTTACTGTTTTATAGGGACTTGGCGCTCTGGGAATGAACTCTGTTACAAAAATATGCACGTATCATGTATGTTACTTGCCCTGTTACAATATGTTGCTACCAAAGTTTTGCCTGGGGTTGCCTGAACACTCCCTGAGCTGTTTCGTGACTATTGGGAAACTGTCAGAAGGGCGAAGGCACAAGTTTGGTCCATGCACACAAGTTTGGTACAAGCATGTACGTGCATGGACCAAACTTGGGTGCACGTATCAAACTTCTAGAGCTTCTTCCTTCATACTCTGGAGACTGATCTGGGCTTTATACACTGAAGATCTTCTACCATCCTTTTCAGAGACGCTGTCCTGAGACTTATTCTGCACAATGTTATGGGAATTATCCTGGATTTTTCATACGCTCAGCCAAAGACCTCTAGCTGACTCTTTAAAACATGAAACTTGAATTTACTTAAATGAAAGCCAGGTCTTGAAGTTTGAATTTCTTCCAGAAATTCCCTGTCTCCTCTATTCTGTGTGTGCAAGCAGGGATGGCATAAGGCAGCAGTGATCATCTAGCACAGTCACTTCCTAGAAGAACCATTTCTTTAAATCAGTTGTCTGGATGGTTTAAAGAGTAGATCTGCTACTTCCACTGCAGTCAGCAGAGCAGCCTGTGCTGTCCTGCCACGAGGGTAACTAGATACGGGAAACAATCTCCACTTTGGGCTTTCATGGGAGTGGGGTCAGGGAACAGTATGACCACTGCAGGTCAAGCCAGGGGACAATATCTTACCATGAGAGGACGGAGGAGGAACCTGGCAGATTGGTTTTCCCAACTCTTCAGCTCTAACTGACCTGAAATCACTCGGTCCTCTGTCTCTCTCCTATGCCTTGCCTACCCGAGGAGTGCGCCAAGAAGACTAGACTGCTAAATCATTCACAGCTCTGGAGAGAAAAGTGTTTTATTGTCCGTGACCTTTCCTGGCCCAGCAGGAAGCAGCGCTGAGGGGATGCTGAAGGAGCCCGAATCGGGGACACGCAAGGGGAAGGAAACGCAGCGACCAGGGAAGGGGTGGAGAAAGGGAAGGAGGAAGGAAACTTCCAGGAGGGAAGAGAAAAAAAAAAAAACCCACAACACAACAACAC